TCTTGTTTGTTAAGGTCGGCTTGTATCGCTATGAGTTTCCCTCTCAGGACCGCTTTGGCTGCATCCCATATGATTTGGTATGACATATTTTCATTTTCGTTTGTTTCCAGATAGTTTTTGATTTCTCCTTTAATTTCATCAATGATCCATTTGTTGTTCAGTAGCATGTTGTTTAATCTCCACATCTTTGTCACTTTCTCCATTTTTTCCTCGTAGTTGATTTCCAGTTTCCTAGCATTATGGTATGAAAAGATGCTGGTTATGATTTCAATCTTCTTAAATTTATTGGGGCTTTGTTTACCAACATATGATCTATCCTTGAGAATGTTCCATGCGTGCTTGAGAAGAATGTGTAGTCAGCTGTTTTTAGATGGAGTGCTCTGTATATGTCTACTAGGTCCATTGCTTCCAGTTTTTCATTTAAGTCCACTGTTTCTTTATCGACTTTTTGTCTGGATGATCTATCCATTGATGTAAGTGGGGTGTTAAGATCCCCTACTATTATTGTGTTGTTTTTAATGTCTCCTTTTAGGTTTGTTAATAATTGCTTTATGTACTTTGGTGCTCCTATGTTGGGTGCATATATATTTATAATTGATATGTCTTCTTGGTGGAGTGTCCCTTTTATCATTATATATTGTCCTTCTTTGTCTCTCTTAACCTGTTTTATCTTGAAGTCTACTTTGTCTGATATGAGTATGGCAACAGCTGCTTTCTTTTGTTTGCCATTAGCTTGGAGTATTGTCTTCCATCCTTTCACTCTAAGCCTGTGCTTGTCTTTAGAGCAGAGATGTGTTTCCTGGAGGCAGCATATTGTTGGTTCTTGCTTTTTAATCCATCCTTCCACTCTGTGTCTTTTTATTGGAGAGTTCAATCCATTTACATTTAGTGTAATTATTGATATATGAGGGCTTAATTTTGCTGTTTTTATCACTTATTTTCCAGTTCTTTTCTATTTCCTTTGTTTCTTGTCCCATGTGTTTCAGACTACCAATTCAGTTTGGTTGTTCTATCTTAGGACTCTTCTAGGTTTCTCTCTGTTTATCATATGTGATTTTGTTTTGATTATTTGTTTAGTGGTTACCTTGAGGTTTGTATAAAAAATCTTGTGTATAAGATAGTCCATTATCTGATGGCCTCTTATTTCCTTATACTAAGACAATTCAATCTCTTTCCTCTTCCCCTTCTAAGTCATTCTTGTTACAACTTATTCTCTCTTGTGTTGTGGGTGTGTGTTTACAGTGATGAGGTTATATTTATTTTTGGTGATTTCCTTCCTTTCATCTTTGATTTTGGTATTTAAGTGGTTGCTAACCTATTCCGGTAAAGATCTACTATTTTTCTGATTTTGTCTATCTATTTTTCTCCTTGCTCCAAGCTTCATCTTCTCCTTCTCTTCTTTTTTACCGGCCTGAGGGCCTTCTTGAGTATTTCTTGTAGTGGAGGTCTCGTGGCCATGAGCTCCCTTAGCTTTTGTTTATCTGGGACAGTTGTTATTTCTCCATCATATTTGAAGGATATTTTTGCTGGATAGAGTATTCTTGGCTGAAAGTTTTTGTCTTTCAGTATTTTGAATATATCATTCCAGTCTCTCCTAGCCTGTAAAGTTTCTGTTGAGAAATATGCTGAGAGCCTGATGGGAGTTCCTTTGTATGTTATTTTTTGTTTTTGTCTAGCTGTCCTTAATATTGTTTCTTTGTCATTGACTTTAGCCAGCCCTACCACTATATACCGTGGAGTGGACCTTTGTCTGTTGATGTATTTAGGCACCTATTGGCTTCACTTACTGGTATTTCCTGCTCCTTCCCCAGATTTGGGAAGTTCTCAGCTATTATTTCCTTGAATAGTCTCTCTATTCCTCTTTCCTTCTCTTCTCCCTCTGGAATACCTATAATTCTTCTGTTACATTTCCTAATAGAGTCAGATATTTATTGGAAACTTTATCCATTTCTTTTTAGTCTTAGCTATCTCTCTTCATCCATCTGGAGCATATCTGTATCCCTATCCTCTATAATGGTAATTCTTTCCTCCATATTGTCAGCTCTGTTCTTTAAAGATTCCAGATTCTCCTATATCTCCACCATTGTGTTCTTCATCTCCATCAGCACTGATTGGTTTTTCTTTATGATTTCAATCTCTTTTGTGAAGAAATTCCTCATCTCATTGAATTCTTTGTCTGTGTTATCTTGTATTTCATTGAGTTTTTTTTTATGACAGCTATTCTGAGATCTCTGTCATTTAGGTTATGGATTTCTGTGCCTTCAGGGTTGGTTTCTGGTTGCTTGTCATTTTCCCTCTGGTCTGGTGATTTCACGTACCTTTGCATTGTGTTTCCTGTATTTGCTTTGTTTTTCCTCATCCTGGAAATATCTGGTTGCAGTTTCCACCTGCAGCCACCATGTGAGGGTTAAGGGCTGTGTAATCTGAGCCCCCTGCACCCAGCCCTGGCTTCCCCCTGCAATCCACTGGCCGTTCTGTCTGGGCTGGTCTGCAGAGCTGCAATGTCAGGCATGCAGGGGGGAGCCTCTCTCTTTTGCCCACTGGGTCCCTGGAGTGGGGAGGGCTTCTCACTTTCCCCTCGTTATCCACTCTCCTAGGTGCTCAGGTGTAGATGTCACCCCAGCAGCAGTACTGAGTCCTCTGTGTAGGAGTTTCCCACTGGCTGAGAGAGCCTGAAGAGCTACAGTTTCCCCCCAGAGGACTGCCCCACCTCTCTCTCTGGGAGCCGTATGGACCCAGATCACTGATCTTATGGGGAGGGAGAGGATCTCCTTACCTCTCCCCACTTCCTCTGGGGGCCCCAGCACGTCCACTCTCAGATGTGCAGCATTGTGGATCTTTCTGATCTTCCTTTTTGCTGTGTAGGAGTCCATTGTTGGTCTGTGCCTGACCCTTTTGTTGTATCTTATCGGGAATAGAGTTTATGGGAAAGCTCACTCTGCCATGATGCTGACGTCACTCCTTCCATTTTTTAACATTTTTCCTCGGTGTTTTAGTAGTCCTTCTCTGTTCCTTTATTCTTCTCTTGCTCTCTTCCGTTGTAGTTTGATGGCTTTCCTTAGCATTATGTTTTGGTTCCTTTCTCTTAGTTTTCTGTGTATTTATTATAGGTTTCTGGTTTGTGATTACCATGGGGTTCATATACAGTAACTTACGAATATAGCAGTCTATATTAAGTTGATGGTCTCTTTAGTTTGACCTCTATCTGAAAGCTCTACACTTTAACTCCCCTCCTCCCACATTTTATGTTTTTGATATCATATCTAAACTTATTTTTCTGTGTTTGTATCTGTTATCATCTTATCAGGGAAGTAGATAATTTTTTCTATTTGTGATCTTCTCTTTCCCCTTTAAATAAGTTCCTTTAGCATTTCTTGTAGTACTAGTTTCTTGGTGACAAACTCCTTTAAATCTTGCTTGTCTGGGAAACTTTTTTTGTTCATCTCTCCTTCCATTTTGAATGATAACATTGCCGGGTGGAGTATTCTTGGCGGTATGTTTTTTCCTTCTAGCACTTTAAATATATTGTGTCATTCTCTTCTAGCCTGTAAGGTTTCTGCTGAGAAGTCAGCTGATAGCCTTATGGGGTTTCCTTTGTATGTAACTTGTTGCCTTTCTCTTGTGGGTTTTAGGATTCTCTCTTTATCTTTAATTCCAGACATTTTAATTATGATGTGTCTTGGGGTGGGCCTCTTTGGATTTATCTTGTTTGGTGCTCTCTGTGCTTCCTGTACCTGGATGTCTGTTTCCTTCCTAAGGTTAGGGAAGTTTTCAGGGCTGGAAGCAGGAGCCTGTGGGAAACTGAGTTCTTTCACTGTCTGAGCCTAGGCTGACCTGCCAAGGCTAATATCCAAGACAAGGCACAATTCCTAGGAGGGTGGAATTCATATGGGACAAATCATCTCTGAAGATCTGGGTACCAGTGGATGAGTCTTTCCCCGGTCCCAAGTGGCTGTGTTGCTGGATACAAATGGTTGTCCCAGGTAGGAGGAGTGGAGGACAAAAGTGGGTGATGCAGATGACTTGGGAGGGCTGGACACGGATCACATGGGAGCACAAGAAATGGGGCTATCTGTTATACCCAGGCTCTGATTTTGTCCTAGAGAGCCTCCCTGGACACCTTCTGTGGACTGAGCCAATCTCCTGAGGGAGCCTGTGATGTTCAGAATCTGGAGTTTCTGGGGATGGGTTAGAATAATCTCTGTAAGGAGGGGAGGAGCCAATGCTGTGCTATATGGAACCCTCTGAGGACCAAGAACTAACTCAGGGTCTCCAGCCCTTCCCTGACGCTGAGATAAAGGGTGCCCCTGCTGCCAGAGTCTGAGAAGGGGTGTTCAGTAGGCAGTGTCTTCAGGGACCTTGTACCACATCCTGGTGAAGGAAAATGTTTTTCAATGAGTTTCACGTTTTTTCTCATGTTGCTTGAATCCTTTATATTTCTCTCTTTTCTTGCAAGCACATGTTTTTTCTTGTAGAGAAATTTTAAGAGAACACTTGTTCAACAATTTATCAACACTCTAAGAAATATTCTTGTTCTGGGAAAACCTGTCATGCCCATGAGGCCATGAGCTGTGTTCCTGGTCCCCCATCAGGCCTCCCTGGCCATCATGGACTCCAGTTTTGGGGAGAAGCCTTGGAAGAACATAAATGAGAAAAAGCCACCTGAGTGCCGTGAGGAGAGTGAGAAGCTCCGTGTTTTGCTCTCTAAGGCTGTGCCTCCTTCTCTTCCCCATGGCCTTGAGAAGCTGTCCTGTGAGCCTGGCTAAGCCCTGTGGTTCCCCTAGGAGGGAATGTGACTCTTCAGTGTCATTTCCGTCTTCTGTTCGTCATATTCAAAATACTCAAATAGATGAGACCTGAGTCCCTGGGCTACAGAGATGTCTTTTCAACAGATTCACCATGAGCCTTGTGACCACAGCACATGCAGGGATCTATGGATGTTCCATAACTCACAACCACATCCCCTCTGTGTGGTCAGGACACATTGACACCCTGGAGATCGTAGTCACAGGTAGAAGTCCAGCCCAGCCAATGTCCACCCTGTGTCCAGATGGCCCTACCCAGAGTCCAGATCCAAGTGGACCTCAGATGGTGGGGAGTGGATCTAAAGGTCAGAGCTTAGAACCAACACAGATGAGGTTGGGGGTCTTTATCTCAGAGATACAGAAAAGCAGATGGAGATGAGGCGGTGAGAGCCAGGCTAAAAAAGTCATGAGACAGAGGGTGGAGAATGAGGCTCAGAGAAAATGTGGTAAGAAAGGCATAGGAAGGAACTGAGAAAGCTTTGGTCTTGAGGGAGGTAGAAATCACTCTGAAAATATCAGGAGAAGGGTGGGGAGGGTGCACATGGAAACTCACAGTCTCTTTCTCCCCAGGTGTGTTCACAAAGCCCATCATCTCGGCCCACCCAGACTCCCTTGTGCATGCAGGAGGCGCTGTGACCCTGCACTGTCACTGAGAACTGGTGTTTGACACATTTATCCTTCACAAGGAGGGGACACACAGCATTCTCAGCAATTTGTAGAGGAGCTTCCTGATGGGCAAACCTGAGCTCATTCCTCCATGGGCCCTATGACATCTGCCCATGTGGGACCTACAAGTGCTATGGCTCTCTCAGTCACTCCCCCATATGTGGTCGGCCGCCAGTGACCATGAGGATGTAATCACCCTTTCATTGTGATTACAGGAAGTAAATACAGAGGTGGACCAGCCTCTGTTCTCTTTGTTCCTGGAGCCTCAGGGGAGATGTAGTGTTGAGTACAATGTGAGTACATGGGGAAAAAACAGGCATGCAGACATACTAACAAACGCAGGAGAGAGAGCAGGTTGGGCAGTGAAGACAAAGGGGAAGAAACAGAGGACTTTCACTGTAATCCAAAGAGAAAACAGATTAGACAGTGACAGAGGACGAGACAGAGAATGAGAAAGATGGACCAAGAAAGACTCCTGAGCACAGGGATGAGGGGTGTCCCCAGCTCAGGCACCAAGTAGGGTGTGAGTTGGTTCCCACTTTACCACCACAGCCCCTTACTCTACTGTGAGGACACGGTGACACACCAGACAGCCCTGCATCAGGCCCTGAATGATCTGAATAGAGACTGGCACTGTGAGGTATTGATCACAACATAGTTTAACATGTTGTCCTGCAGAAGACGGAGGAGTGGTCTCTTCTAACCCTCACCACCTGGTGGTCACTCCCCACACCTTGGGGTGCAGGGTCACATTGGCCACTCCCTGCATAATGAGTTTCTTGAAGATCCTATGGAGATTTTGGCACTTTTCACCCCATAATCTCTTTGTTCTGTGTCAGGAAGCCTAAGGCCAATACCGTGTTTTCTGAGGGCCCCCAGTGTGGCTAGTTGATTATATTATTCGAAAGAACTCCTCATCTCTTATGGCTTCTAGGAGAAGTTAGACATGGAGATACAGTCATAAAGCCACAGAGAAACAGGGAAAAGCAGGTTCCTAGAAAGACACAGACGTACAATCATTCCACACTGCAGAGATAAAGGTGAGATTGAGAGGTGCTAGAAGACACACAGAGCAAACACCCAGGAACGGGAACAGAGAACGCTTTGTCATGACCAAGGACAGTGTGATAAGACTTGTGCTTTCAGATCAATGACTCTTTTTCTCCTAGGAATACACAAGGAACCTTCTCTCTCAGGCCAGGTTGTCCCCGTGGTGATGTCAGGAGAGAACCTGAACTTTTTCTGTGAGCCCGAGATCTCGTTTGACAAGGACCATATATCCAGGGAGGAGGAGGCCCATGAACAACAGCTCACTAGAGGGCAGAGCCGCAATAGTGCATTTCAGGCCATCTTCCCTCTGGGTCCTGTGACCCCAGCCCACAGCAGGACCTATAGCGGCTATGGTTCTTTCAATCACTCTCCCTGTGCGTGGTCAGACCTGAGTGACCCACTGCAACTTTCTGTCACTGGTGAGGCACCTCATCTTGTCCCATGTCTTACAATACACTAAATCATGGAGCTATAGCTGAGGGTGCCCTGTTGGTGATAAAGGAATCTTGAGAATTTTGGAGAAATGGAAGCAATGAGAAATACAGAGAGGATGGCAGTCAGGGAACCTCCAAACTCTCCTCCAGCTCCTGAGTGGATGCACAAGTTGAGGTCCTATGCATCCAGGAGAATGAAGAAAGGGGTCAGGGCACATCCAGGAGGAGGAGAGTCTGAATGCAGTTTGGGGAGATTGGAGGTTGCATCCCCCTCACCCTTATTTGTTTCCCAGAAGCACATCTGACTCACAAGTCATTTCCCAGTTGAAGAGCACAGATATTTACCACCAAAGAGGACATAATATCTCCTGATCATAGCTATCTTTCACTACCAGGGATATCCTAAAGCCTCTTTCCAGTATGACATATCAGGGAGGAAGCATCTGCTCAAGGTGTTCAGGAAGAGGGACCAGAAAGCCCCATCAGTCTGGTGGGGAAGAGGGAGGATCCTCCTCCGCCCTTTCCCTTGGGTTCTTATGGCTGGCCAAATAATTAAAAGACAGGTTAGCAGGATAAAATAATACCAAGTTTAATAACATGTATACAGTTTCCCTGGTTTCTTCTATGTATACATGTTACTAAACTTGGTATTATTTTCTCCTGCTAACCTGTCTTTTAATTATTTGGGCCCAGTCATGAGAACTTGAAGTGAAAGCGTGGAAGGGGATTCTCCCTCTTCCCCAACAAGTCCTTAGGGGATGACAGAGTGAGTGGTGGACAGAGGAGCAACCTTGCATCAGGAACAGTCCTACTTCAGTGGAGGAGGAAGGACACTGGCCCATCATTCACTATCCTTTTTCTTAGGAATTCCTACAATTACTTGCCCATCGCCCAAAAAAACAAACACCACAAAAGGTGAGCAAGGAGGTCTCTTAATTTAATCTATGAATCTCTGGGAACCAGAGGGCTCCTGTGTGAGTGTCGACTCTGCCACCTACCAGATCGTGACCTTGAGTTAGTTAGCTTCCCCTTCTGATCCCCAAATTCTCCATCAGCATTTGAGTCTGTGGTCAGTATGAGAATCAGAAGGGGCATTTAGGCTCCCATGTTCTGGGACTGAGGCCTTTTCTAATAGGGATAAAGGGGTCACAGGGGCCCTGACCCCATGCCCAGGAGACGTGCTTATCCTCCCTCCATCAGGATCTGTGAGGATGGGGATGATAGACGATTGGAAGGATTTAAGGGAATGCTTTAAATATGTACTGCCCATCTGTTAATATTCTATTAGCTGAATATCCGACAGTTAACAAGGAAAAAGATTCTGTCTTCATGAGGATCATATTTCAGATGTGTGTGAAAGGAAATGAAAAAGTATGAGGAGTAAATGAATGAAAATTCATTAGAATTCATTAATTCATACACTTTGAGATAGAGCCATGTGATAGAGAAAGCTTAAGTGGGTAATTTAGAGTAAGTGGTAGGCAAAACTCTACTGAGGGTGACATTTCAGGTGTGAGCTAATGACAAAGAACGCCAGTCCTGAGAAGATTAGTCTAAGGATATTCCCGCGAGATGGAACCCTGAATGGCATGAATCCAATGTGGGAATCAGCTTCGTGAGTTCAAACCACCCGTGAGCCTGACTTGTGCTGGGTGAGGTGGAGTTGAGAGAGGTAGACTGGAGTCAAACTTGGCACAGGTGGGTAAGCAATGACAAGGAGCTTGGATTTTACTCTGTCTCAAATCAGAATCCATTAAAATATGTATATCAGAAAAGTGGCATTATGTGCATGATATTTTAGAAGGAACAAATTGGCAAGTGTGAACGGAATTCATTTAAAGAGAATGAGTGGAAGCCATGATCCTGGAGGGAGGATATGACAGTCTCTGTGGAGAAAAATCATAGCGTCTTAGCCATGAAGGTGCAAGGATAGAAGTCTGGTGGGTGGTTTCCTGACATACTCAGATGTAGACTCACTAGGAAAGAGATTTCTGAACAGTTCTTGTATTTCTCAGCTGAGCCACCTTTGGCATTCTCATCAAAGTTGTAAAATTTCTTGGCATAAACTTGTTCATAGTATTTCTTTATTATCCTTTTAATGTCTGTAGGAGTGGTAGCGACACCCCTCTTATTCTTGATATCAGTAATTTATGTTCTCTCTTTTTTCCTCTCTTGCTCTTTTTCTTTATATCCTACAAGCTTTGATATGTTGCAGTTTCGTTGATCATTCTTCATTAATATTTTGTAAATTCAATTTTGTGTGATTCTATAACCATAAGTATTGGGGATTTTATTTGTTTCGAAAGTATTAGGTTTTTTTCTTAATGTTTTCTTGTTGATGCTCATTTAATTGTACTCTAATCAGAAAACGTGGTATGTAGGATAACAGTTTGGAGAGACATAGATACTTTGTTGTCTAGTAAGAAATCAATATTTTCTCTTCAACATGTGATTTAAATAATGAGCATTCCCACTTTGTTGTAATATATATGTCACAAAAATGTTTCTATACAATTATGCATACTAAATACGCAACCAAAAACTTCATCACGTGCGCACAGCAGATTGAACATTTAATTGATCCAACTCTCACGTAAATTTTTTGCCAGCCTAGTCTATCAGATAGTATATATTTTTCTAATAAATGTTTGTTCAAATCCCCCATTACATAGCAATTTATGTTTTTTATGCTTCAAGGATATGTGATTGGTTGAGTGAAAATTCATAATTGTGTGGCTTCTTAGTTGATTTAAAAATATAAAACACCGGAGTCAGTCCAGTGGTGTCGTGGTTCAGTTTGCACACTCCGCTTCGACAGCCCAGGGTTTGCAGGTTCAGATCCTGGGCTCGGACCTATGCACTGCTTAACAAACCATGCCTTGGCAGTCGTCCCACATACAAAGTAGCAGAATATGGGCACGAATGTTAGCCCAGGGCCAATCTTCCTCGGCAAAAAGAGGAGTATTGACAACGGATGTTAGCTCAGGGATAATCTTCCTCACCAAAATAAAATATATATATATGAAATACCAATTCTTGATCTCTTAAAAATATTTTTCTGTTTGTGTTAGTTTTCTATTGCTGCCATAACAAATTACCACAAATTTAGCAGCTTAAACCAAATTTATCATCTCACAGTTCCATAGGTCAGAATTGTGAATGGGTCTCACCAGGCTAAAATTAAGGTGCTGACGTGGCTGAATTCCTTTCTGGAGGCTCTAGAGAGGAGAACCCATTTCCTTGTTCATTCAGACGATTGACAGAATTATATGCACTTGCAAATATGCATAGACATATATTCATACCAAATGCTTACTGACATTTCTATGTACTGTCAATTTCTTTTGTTCTCAGTACCATCTCATTTTCTCCACTTTGGATCCATTATTCTTCTTTCCGATTTGCATCATTCAGTATTCCTATCAGAAAGGGTGTAGACATAAAAATATCTACATCCTTATATCTCAACAATGCCCGATTCGCATTAATATTCTCTCTATCACAGGAGAAGGTTTACTTTGTTAGAGTGAAAGACATCTGGTATTTAAGAGATCTGACCGTCAACGCCCTCCTTATCTCTCATAAAGATGCAGCCTGACGTGGTGCTTCATGTGTGAGACACGAGTCCCCATATGTCAGATGTTCCTTCAGTCTCTACGTGTTTAAGGATTTCTCCACCGCTGATGGTTCATCTTGCCCATTAATAATAACTAGGCTCCGTGTAGAATTCTGTACTCACAGTAAATACCTTGAAAGTATTTCTCCAGTATTTTCTGTCACCTGTTTTTGCTCTTGAGAAGTCCAGTCCCAATGAGCTTGTCATTCATTTGAGGGTCACTTGCATTTCTCTAGTAGTTTTAGAATTATTTAAAAATTTATTATCAATGTCCTTTACCAGGGCCACGATATGATTTTCACTTATAAATTCATGCATTTTAAATCCATGTTTTTTCTTCATTTCTGTTAAAATTTCAACCACTCTCTCTTCGGGTTTGCCTAACACCATTCTCACTTCTTTCATCCTGAAACTGTGATAGATGTCTGCTTACCCTTCTCATTCTATTTCTTGTGTATATTCCCTACCTTTCCTATTTTTCAACTTCCGGGCTCCCTGGGATGCATTCTAGAAACTTTATCAATATTTTATTCCAGTGATGTCAGCAGGATGGCAGAATAGGAAGACCCAGTCCTTGTCCCCCCACAGAAACACTGACAAAACAAAGATATTTGGTCCAAAAGCGCAGTTTCACTTTTCCCACGTCACCCATCCCCTAAGCCTCTGAGAGATCAGCTCCTCCCAGGATTTCTCCCTCAGAGAAAAGAGAGGGTGAAGCTGCATCTGAGGGCGCTGCCCCAGAGACCTCCTGGTGTCCCACCTCACTCAGAGCACGAGGCGGCAGGCACACCAGGAGCAGCCAAGAACAGAGGAAAGGGGCTCTCAGTGCAGGCACAGCCCTGAGACTCCTCCCCCAGGAGGGGGGAGAGGAGCGGAGCTTGTACATCCACAGATCACGTGTGAGAGGCTCCCAGAAGCTGTGACTGGGCTGATTGGTGGTCTCCCCCTGACAGGACCAGACCGTAAAGACTGGAAGAGGTGGCTGCTTCTTCCAGTGCACAGACACTACAAGCTACAAGAAACACGAAGAATAAGGGAAATATGACAGGATCAGAGGAAAGAAATAAATCTCCTTTAACCGACCATAAAGAAAAGGAGAACTATGACTTCCCTTAAAAATTATTCAAAATAATTACCTGAATTATTTTAGGTGAACTAATTTTCCACAGGCTTCCAAGAACACACAATTGGGAAAGGATAGTCTCTTCTATAAATGGCATTGGGGAATCTAGATACCCGCATGCAGAGGAAAGAATTTGGACCCTCAGCTCACACCATACACAAAAATCAACTCAAAATGGATTAAAGATTTGTCAACTTAAAAAGCAAATTTACTTGCTATTTTATCCTTAAAGTAAGTTTATTCAAGAATAGCCAAAAGAATTGCAATTCAAGATGTGCATGCTGTGGCAAACCATGGGCAAATAGAGAAAACAAAGGAAGGGAGCTACTTTTATAGAGAAAAAGGAGGAGTAGGGAGGGGTTGTTCTAAATGAAGTTTTTAGGGAAAAGTAAAAGTTCAAGATGGCAATGATGCGTCATTGGCTGAGATGAAGCCTTTCCCAGAGGCCACAAGAGAAATCTTCCTTCCGTGGTGAAGTAGTTCTACTTCCTGTGGAAGATGCAAGCTTCTGTCTCTTCCTGTTTGGTGTAACTGAGGACGAGTGATAGGACTGAGAGCTCCCCCCACAGGCCTCCTTGACTCCAATTTAGTTAAGGTTTCTTTTATTAATTTCCACAGATTTAAATATAAGATCTGAAACAATAAAACAACTGGAAGAAAACAAAGGTGAAAAGCTTCTTACATCAGTTTGAGCAATGATATTTTTTTGGATGTGACACCAAAAGCACAGGTAACAAAAGAAAAATAGATGAGTAGGATTGCACCAAACTAAGAACTTTCTGCACAGCAAAGGAAACAATCAAGAGAGTGAAATGGCAACTTACAGAATAGGAGAAAATATTGCAAACCATACATTTAAGGAATTAATTTTCAAAATATATAAAGAACTCATACAACTGAATACAAAAGTAGTAATAATAACCCAGTTAAAAAATGGGCTAAGAGGAGGTTGGCCTGGTAGTGTAGTGGTTAAGTTCATGTCTACACTTAGGCAGCCTGGGGTTTATGGGTTTGGATCATGGGCGTGGACCTACACACTGCTCATCAAGCCATGTTGTGGTGGCATCCCACATGTAAAACAGAGGAAGATTGTCACAGATGTTGGCTCAGGGACAATCTTCCTCAAGCAAAAGAGAAAGATTGGCAACAGATGTTAGCTCAGGGCCAATTTTCCTCACACACAAAAAAAATGGGCAAAGAACTTGAATAGGCATTTCTCAAAAGAAGACATTCAAATGGCCCATCAGTGCATGAAAAGGTGATCAATCTCACTAGTCATCAGGGAAATGCAAAGAAAAACCACAACGAGATATCACCTCACACCTGTTAGAATGGCTATTATCAAGAAGTCAAGAGATAGCAAGTGTTGGCAAACATGTGGAGAAAAGAGAACACTTGTGTGCTGTTGGTGGGAGTATAAAGTGGTACAGCCATTTTGGAAAACAGTATGGAGGTTCCCCAAAAAATTAAAAATAGAGCTACAATATGATCCAGCAATCCTACTTCTGGGTATATTTCCTAATGCGTGAAATTAGGATCTCAGAGAGATATCTACACTCCTATGTTCATTGCAGCATTCTTCACAACAGCCAAGATATGGAAGCAACCTAAATATCCATCAACGGATGAATGAATAAAGAAGATGTGGTTTATATACATGCAACGGAATATTACTCATCCTTTAAAAATAAGGAAGTTCTGCTACTTGTGACAACGTGGATGAACCTGGAGGACATTATGCTAAGTGAAATAAGCAAGACAAAGAGAAATACGACATAATTTCACCTACATTTGGAGTCCAAAATAGTTAAAATCATAAAAACATAGTTTAATGGTGATTGCAAGGGGCTGGGGAAATGGGGAGATGTTGATCAAGGGGTACAAATTTTCAGTTTATGCAGCTGAATGAGTTCTGGAGATCTAAGGTACAGTCCCTTGACTACAGTTAACAGTGCTCTATTGTGTACTTGAAATTTGCTTAGGGGGTAGATCTGAAGTGTTCTCACGACACACACGAAAAAAATGGTAACAATGTGGGTGACGGATGTGTTATTTACCTTGATTATGCTGATTATTTCACAATATATACAAGATTCTGATACAATGTGTCAAGTTTTACAACTTAAATATATACAATTTTCGTTTGTCGATTATATCATAATAAAGCCAAAAAAATCTTTGTTTCATAATTACACCAAGAATTTGTGAAGTTATTCCATTTCTAATTTTAAGTAGTTACTCTCATTTTCAATATGTGTTATGTATTTTTATTTCTAAGCAAGTATTCATTATCCTCTTCCCTCAGAGAAGACAAGGTTCTAGTTACACTTTATTTGAACTCTGAGTTCTCATATATGTAAATATGTGTGTGCGTGTGCACATCTGTGTGTCTATGAGCACATGTACGTGTGCATGTGTGGGTGTGTCTTTCTTCGTGTGTCGATTGTCTGCAAGTGTGTGTTTGTGTAATTTTTCAGAGTTTTTCCATTTTTTTCCTCACTGTTGCATCTCACTTTCTCCACTTTGGGTGCGTTTTTCTCCTAACTGAATTTCATTATTTAGTATTCCTTTCACTGGGTGTGAAAAGAGTAAAATATCTATGAACTTGCAGCTCTGGAAATGCCTTCTTTCACTCGTTCTCTTTATCAAGTTACTTGGGAACATTTTGTTATTTCAGATAAAGTGTAGGATTCAACTAACAGGAGAGGAAAATCCACGTGACTGTTAAGGATCCATCCTGTAAATCTCTTCTTATCTCTCATGGAGACGCGGCCCCACGTGGCGGGTTTAACGTGTGAGATTCAAGTCAGAGTCTCCTCTTGTTTGGAGATTTGCCCCTCTGATCCTTTCTCCTTTGTCCCTTAAAAATAATTTGGCTCAGTATAAAATTATTCACAAACAGATAATTCCTGGAAGGTATTTCTCCAATCTCTCTTGGCATCTCATTTTGCTGTGGGGCAGTCTGGTCCCAGAGCTTGTCATTCTATTGACGATAATCTGCATTTTCTCTAGGAAGTAATTTTAGGACTTTTTATGTGGCCCCAGGCCAGTCCTCCTCGAAATGTTTTGAGTTGAAATTCACATAATATAAAATAGACCATTCTAAAGTGTACAATTCAGTGTAAGATACACACTTTTAATTTACCCTTCCTTTTCTTCATTCACCGTGAAGGTCAAGACATAGATGTCATTTTAAATATATGCCTCCCAGCACTTAGTCTTTCCTCATCTCTGTAAAAGTTAATTCTTTGTCTCTTGAGCTGTTGCTGGACATCATTCTCGTTCTTTCCTCTGACACTTACAATAGATGTGACGTTGGTCCTCCTCATTCTACTCCCCAAGTATCTTAAATTTCCATTTCTGGTCTCTCTGTGCTGCATTCTGGAAAATTCCCTCATTATTCTGTTCCACTTTAATAATTGGCCTTCAGCTGTGCTGTCCTTGAGGGATGAATTTTTTTAATGTCTTAATGCTGCTGGATTTTTCATCTCTAAAATTTCTAGCTCACTTCAATAGTTGCCTATTCTATAAAAACAATCTATATTCTTGCATCAAAAATTCCATTTATCCCTTTATGTTTCAGATATTTAAACACACTTAATTTAAAATTACTCTCATATTTTCCTGTTGATTCTATTCCTGGCATAAGATAATCCCCATTAATCAGTAGTTCGTTGTCCATAATGTGTTCATCATGATTAGGATGACTCTTGACTGTCCATTCTTGTTGGAAGGTTCTCCTCTCACACCACTGATCTCCCAGAGAGGGTTTCCCAGGGCCATCCTGGGAGTCAGGCTGACAAGGGGAGACTGTTGCAGCTGTTTCTGTGTCATGGTGTCCACTCTCTCAAACTCAGCATCTGCTCAGGGTTGTGTCCTGCAGGGATGGTCCAATAAGAGCCTCACATTCTCAGGTGGGGCAGATGCCCATGGCTGACAATACTGGATTCAATCTGTTTCAGGACACACACTGGAGGTTTCTCGGTCCTGACCACGGGCTCAGGGCAGTAGGCAGATATTCCAGAGCCTACCCAGGAACACAGGGGAGGGGAGCCACAGCTTCCATCCTTCACCAGGAGCTCTGAACCCTCCATTCTTGTGAGGACTTGGGAGTCCTCTCTGTTTGACACAGGTGACGTCCTCCATAGGACCCCTTGATGGTCCTGGGCACTGATGGCCACTCAGCTTTGTCCTCTATTCTTTTCTGTAGTTCCCTTTCTATTGTGGGAACTTTCATTCCTCTTTTTTGCATTTGTCTGTGGCTACATGTTTTAGAAATGTTGTAAGTAGCATTTCTCAGTGTTGGGAGCACACAAGAGCTCTTGAGTGGGCACATCAATTATCCACTTGACTGTGGAGTTCAACCTCATGATACTTTCATGTCCCAACCCACTCATGTGTTAACATGGCTTGAAAATTCATTGATCCCTCCCATGAACCCAGCACCACTCACCCCACAACCACTCTGAGGAGTGGGGTTCCTGACAACATGCTGCAGACGAGGAAACTGAGGATCATAAAATTGGACATTAATGCTCTAGGTCACATGGGCAGTGGATGATCAATGAATATTTAAGTAAGATTCAGCAGTGTCCCCCAATTAAGAGTGCTAAGCCAGTCACTGACCCCTGAAACTGAAGACAGAACCACAGGATGAGGAGGGGAGCTCTGCCCAAGGGAACAAGGGGTCTGAGGAAGCAGGAATGACTCAGAGGTCTGTTCCCAGAGAGATAAGGGTGGATGCTCTTGAAGGAAAAAAGAGAAATCCGTGAAGGCGGCTGTGATAGAAAGAAAGCCCACGCTCTGGGGTCATGAGAAGACTGATGTTTCCTTCCCTTATTTCCCTGTGTTTCTCCTTTGTGCTCATTGTCACAAAGACCTGGACCTGAAGCGTAGAGTTAGATGTTGAGCGAGGGTCTCTGCTGATCTGAGCTCTGCAGTGCAGCAGGATCCTGCGTCTTCCCTGAAGCGTCTCCAGGGCCTGGATGACCACTGTCCATGGTGAGGACCCCACAGGGATATTCTGATGGACGGGCTGAGGATGAAGGAGACCCCAGGGGGAGGCTCTGAGAGGGAAGGACACGTCATGCGTCACCCTCACCTGGAAGGGGCATCTCAGGAAGGCACCACATCTATTGCTGTGAAGTTCTGTCCGCCGGTGAGATGAGTCCAGATCAGGCAGACAATGAGGGTCAGGGGAGACCACATTTCATTGAAATGTCTTCTGAGAGCCTGGTACAACTTCAGTCCCAGCTTGGGGAGGAGCAGTTCCTCTTCCTCTGGGCCTGCTGATGTGACAACCCCATGACGAAGGACCAGCTTCACAGTTACCACACCCTGTGCCTCTGTCGGTCCCTCCCGGCATTGCAGTCTCCTCCATCTGCACAGCTGGGGCCAGAGGGAGGAGACACCATGACCCCCACCCTCATGGCCCTGCTCTGCCTTAGTGAGATTTGAGGAGGGGGAAGGGAAGGCCTAGGCTGGGAGGGACCCCATCCCACAGCCAGGCCCTGGTCTGTCAGGAGACCCTAGCATGCAGGAATCTCACGGGGAGTTGGGATTCTGCTCACCACCCAGGGGCAAATCTCTCACAGAGAACTCTCTTCCAGGACTGAGTGTGGGCCTGAGGACACGAGTGCAGGTAAGTGAGTCTGTCCCCAGGTGTCCCAGGTTCCACCTCCTCACTGGGGACAAGAGGCTACCCCCATGCAGCTAGGGATAGAGAACAGGAGTTCTGGGCTGATGGATGGCATCATCTGGGATGGTCATGGGGCTGGGAGTTGGGGAACTGGGGGTGGCAGGTATCTTGTGACCCAGCCTCTGATTCCTCCCAGGGACCCTCCCCAAGCCCACCATCTGGGCTGAGCCAGGATCTGTAATCCCCTAGGGGAAGCCCGTGACCATCTTGTGTCAGGGGACACTGCAGGGTCAGGAGTACCATCTGGATAAAGAGGGAAGCCCAAAGCCGTGGAGAAGACAGAGCCCACTGGAGCCTGGGGAAAAGGCTGAGTTCTCCATCCCACATATGACACACCTATTGGCAGGGCGATATCACTGTTACTATCTCAGACTCACAAAACAGTCAGAGCCCAGTGACCCCCTGGAGCTGGTGGTGACAGGTGAGAGGACACTCAGGGGTCCCAGCCTCAGGATCTGCACTCAGGAAAGGGGTCTGTTCTCAGGGGTGTGTCTCCTCTCACAGTCCAGCTCTGGGGGATATGAGGCAGGAGTGAGCCCCATTTAACAAACTGCCTCCTCCTCTCCTAGGAATCTACAGCAAACCCACCATCTCAGCCATGCCGAGCCCTGTGGTGACAGCAGGAGGGAACGTGACCCTCCAGTGTAGCTCATGGCTGGGATTTGACAGGTTCATTCTCACTAAGGAAGGGGAACACCAGCCCTCCTGGACCCCGGACCTACAGCTAAACCCTAACGGGCAGTCCCAGGACCTGTTCCCTGTAGGCCCTGTGACCCCTAGCCACAGGTGGACGTTCAGATGCTATGGCTATGACAGTAAAAACCCCCAGGTGTGGCCAGGACCCAGTGACACCCTGGAGCTCCTGGTCCCAGGTGAGGATGTCCCATCCTGGTCCCATCCATGTTTTGAGGCACCAGACAGGGGTCTTATTCTCAGGGACCCCCCCCATGTGAGTTGGTGGGGTGAAGGGGGAATGGGGCTCCTGGGGAAGAGGCACAAACAGCGAGAGACAGTAAGACTTGAGGGCAGGACTGGAGAAGGGAGGTTTATGGGAGGAATCAGCCCCTGCAATCCACACATGTTCTTTCTCCCAGGTGTGTCTAGGAAGCCCTCCCTCCTGACCCAGCACAGCCATGTTGTGGCCTCTGGACAGAACCTGACCCTCCAGTGTCTCTCTGATGTCGGCTATGACAGATTCACTCTGTCCAGAGAGGGGGCACATGACCTCCCCCAGCACCTTGGCTGGAAGCCCCAGGCTGGACTCTCTCTGGCCAACTTCCCCCTGGGCACTGTGAGACGCTCCCACAGGGGCCGGTACAGATGCTACGGTGGACAAAATATCTCCTCCGAGTGGTCGGCCCCCAGTGACCCCTTGGATATCCTGGTGGCAGGTGAGGAGCCAGTGGGTCAGTCAGGGACCCAGACTCTGCACAGGCCCTGCTGGGGAAGCCACAGGTGGTGATGCCAAGCAAAGGAGTGTGGGGTCTCCAGGGAGGGAGAGAGACAGGGGATGGGCGGGGAGAGGGAGAGACTCAGAGAAAACAAGACAGATAGAGATGAGGGTCATCAGAGTGAGGCCTGGGGACTCAGTTCAGTACAAGGGGGGTAGGCAGCCCCTCACTCACCCTTCTTCTCTCTAGGACAGCTCCCTGACACACCCTTCCTCTTGGTGCAGCCCGGCCCCACAGTGGCCTCAGGAGAGAACGTGACCCTGCTGTGTCAGTCATGGAGCTCGAGGGACACTTTCCTTCTGTCCAAGGAGGGGTCAGCCGATCCTCCCCTGCGTCTTAGATCAAAGTACCGAGCTCAGCAGTACCAGGCTCATTTTCCATGAGTCCTGTGACCTCAGCCCACGGGGGGACTTACAGGTGCTACAGCTCACGCAACACCTCCCCCTACCTGTTGTCACACCCCAGTGACCCACTGGAGCTCATGGTCTCAGGTGAGCAGCCCTGAGATTTCTGAGCTCAGCCAGCTCAGGGCTCTGTCCTCAGGAAATCTGAGACTGTAATAAACAAGGGGGTACAGGGAGAGGCTCTACAGAGGGGAATATTAGGAGCCCCTGACTCCTACCCCTTATCCATGTACTCTGGGTCCCCTGCTGTTGAGTAAGTGGGACTCTCAGCAGTAGGGGAATAAGGTTATGAATTCTCACATCTAAGACTGAGTAGAGGATGCACAGCACTCATTTCCCTGTTGGGAGACGTAATCCTTAGCTCTCGGGGCACAGCCAAAATGTTCCAAAGTGATTCAGATGCAGGTTCTGAGTTCAAAGAATACAAGGAGGCTGAGTAAATCCAATGAGGGGACCAGAGCTAACGTGGTGAGAAGAGATTAAGAGCTCATAAAGGGACTGTACAAAAATTATGACATGAGAAGTAGGGACATATGAGAGCACAGAACCCAGGAGAAAGGCTTGTGTCTCCACAACTCTTCACTCACCACCTCACTTTGTGATTCTCAGAAGCAGCTGATGCCATCAGCCCCTCACAAAACAAGTCAGACTCCAAGAGTGGTGAGCAGGAGCAATTGTCAGTTATGGGGCTGGTGCAGAGGGTCACGTCCGGTCAAGGAGAGGTGGGTGCCCTGGGTGGACCTCCAGGGATCCTGGGGTGAGTTTTGTCTGCCCTAACCTCTCTGACCTCTTTGTCCACAATTCCTAGCCTCACACTCCCAAGATTACACACTGGAGAATCTCATCTGGATGGGCGTGGCTGGCTTCCTCCTGGTGCTCCTTGGGGTGTTCCTGTTTCAGGCTTGGAAAAGCCAGAGAAGACCCCAAGATGCACTCAGAAGGTAAACACAGGGGACAACAAACTCACTGTTCAGAGTAGCAGAGCCTTGGAAATGAACCTTATGTACCCAGGAGGTTCTGGAAGAAAATCTGAAGCACATGCTGGTTGACCTGTCTGCTGATGATCTCGAGGGAGTAAACATGGTTTGGGTGCAGAAAAATATCTGGCTATTCCCAGTTCAGGATTATTCCTCCATTAAAGTGTGGTGCTTTCTGTCCCTACCACTGACGACTTTCCTTGGCTGCCCCCCGTCTTTCATCACCCCTATGCCAGGAGGGTACATCCCACTCCTTTGCACACCTTCATGTTCTGACCCACTGTCTTGTAACACATTTTTCTTTATGTTTAATTTCCGTATTCTCTCATGGGTGCTATTACCTCTATTCCTTAAGCCCAGAAACAGAATATGCTTTAAATAACTGAATAAATGGGTGACTGTCAAGTCCAGTTTTAAACAGATAAATCTAAAACCATTTACTAAAACCTTCTCTAGACTCGTCAAACTGTTGTCTCCCCATCAGATGATCCCTGGTATAATTTCTCCAGAAATACCAACAGTTTCAATGAATATACTGGTGTTTGAGGAGACAGCTTGGTGGTGTGCTGGTAAACCAGCTCTATGGAAAAATCACTTTTCCAAAAGCTCTGATTTGTGAGATTGCCTATTCTTTGTTGTAAATACTCCCTTCATGGCCAATTTCAAGATGTCAGTGTGAATGCACTGAGTGCAGAGTTGGGAAGTAATGAATAGAACTGTCTTTTGTAGGTGATTAGGAGCCAGAGGCAGCTTACCTCACCAATAGTCCCATGTGACGAATGCTTCCTTCTATTTTAAACATCATGATAAGACAACTTCCTCTCAATTTTATGCCACAGTTTTAAAGAAATTATGATTCCACAATCCTCGGACATCCATTTAAAGACAAAAGGGAAAACAGTGATGATATCAATATGGGAGAAAATATTGAGTCTTAGAATCACAATACATTACTGTTAGGAGTACAGATTGCTTCAGTCAATGTGGGTCATAGATAACAATTATCAGTTAAAAGGAGGAGAAACGCATCTCTAGTCCATAACTATATTCCCTAGAGGAAAATGTGTGCATATGCACAGTGATACTTTTACAAGAACATTGACATAACTATTGTTCATTTTAGACAAAAAAAAAAAAACATAGAAATCAGTCTGACAATGAATGAATATTTGTGGTATACATATGCAATGAAATATTGTATGGCAGTAAAAATGCACATACTGAAATTACAATCAGATAAATTTTCAAACACGATAATCATAGGATTATTCCATTCCATACATAATGTCAAGTGGAGGCAGCATTTATATTTAGGGAGTCATGACTAATTTTAACCCTGTAATAATGGAAGGAAAAGATTACTATGTAATCCATTATGTGGTAACCTAGAAGGTGATATTGGAAAGTTTTGTTCAAGACGGAATTCATGGTGTCCTCTGCAACACTGACAAAGTTCTTCTTGACTTTCATTTGTTGACACACAAGTCCACTTGTTATTGGTAAATAAAACACTTCTGTTTACCACCTATATTTATTTTACATACAATTTAGTGAGCCGAGATGGAAGTAGGGTGGAGAAGGTCACAGTTTGCACTAGGCACTAAATAAAGTGGCACTTTATTCAGACAAACTATGTTGCTCTTAATCTGTTATAACCAATACGTCACATTTTGGCATTTTTGTCCCCTCAAAACACCTGCCTGTCAGCCGCTCCTGAATCCAATCAGACAATAAGCCTCTTCCCCTCATTCTTGGTGAGAAACTGGGTCACCAGGCAAACACTTCCCCAATGTCACAGAACATGCAAAAAGAATTTAAAATGGGTTCATGTGAGCTTCTGAACACATCGGGTCCCATGAATCAAATCCACAATTGATCTTCCATGATGCCCAGACTAGTTATATCTTCTATTGTTGTCTAATCTCCAATCTCCAAGAATTTATTCCACATAACACATGTCATAGTGTATAATTACATATAGCTTATAATTAATTATTTGATATCCATCACATCCCAAGAGTAGCAGGGATCACAGAACAGGATCCACGTGAGTTACGCACATATTTTAGTTGTACATTGTATGAAATATAGTTGATATTTATATATAAACTTTGACAGAACAGATAGGTGAATGGATTCGTTGTAAATAGAAAGACAGGAAGGTTTATTTTTCACACAAACACACACAAACACACACACACACTCCAATCTGCAGTAAATCAAGCCAGCATCCTCCCCAGTTACCTTTCTCTTTCATTTCTGTCAATTTGGTCCCCTTTCAGTTCTCTAGCCCAAGGATTCCCTGTTTTCTTCTACACACAGCTGAAATGTAACAATGAGGTAACAAATTAAAATGAGCCAATCAAATACAGGAGCTTAATTGTAGAGGAGAGATCAACTACATAATTTGTGGGGCACAGTGCAAAACTAAAATGCAGGGCCACGTGTTAAAACGTCAACATAGTGACAACAGAGCATTAACCCAGCTGGGAGTCTTGTCCTATCATGCAGTCACCACCCACGGAGTCAGCTCAGCATAAAGCAATGAGCAATTAGTTATTGCACACTGTGGTACCTAACAGCATTTTCTGAGTGCCTCCTGGGTCCCAGAACCTGGACTGGGTGCTGCACACACCCCATCGCTGAGTCTTCACCATATAACTATTAGGTGAGGGTCATTTCCTTTTTTGTAAAGAAGATCTCAGGTTCATGAAGTAATTTACCTAAAACACACTGGATTAGGACAACCATCTGAACTACTTATAGGTCTGTCTCCAATAAGGTGGCTCACTGCCTCCCAACTCAGTCCTACCCAAGCATCGCCTGAGTAGCTGGCAGGACCCTCACTACCACATTCATGGTCCTGGTCTCTGCCTCACCTCCAGTCTCTGTAATTTCATGGAAGGAAGTTGTGTGCATGGAGCGATAGACTCTGGGGTCAGGGTGATCTGGATTCCACTCCAAGATGAAAACTTGCTGAATGCCTAACCCTGAAGAACAGACAGAGCATCCCTAAGCCTTGGTGTTGTCATCTTCAACGTGGAGATGATACTTGGGTGGAGGAGACACTCCAACAGAACAAAAGCTCCAGTGACACACCCTGAATTAACGATACCCCACAAATAGTAGTTCCTTTCCTTATAGACCTTCCTTCTGTAGAAGTGAAAAAAATGAGGACTCTTGAGGAGATGCATTTCCTCCGGGATGCCACAGCACCTAGGACCTAGATTTTCCAGCCTTCTTTTCACAGTAATGTGAATGTGACCATCCATGGCCGGAGAACATGGATGTTCTGAACACCAAGCTATATCGGGAACCATGAGATCCCAGAACAAGATAGCACTTCCCAGTCACTGCATGTGCACAATGACTGCAGACATTGCAAATGCCCCCAAAGGAAAGGGACCCTGGAGGTGGTGGTGACAGGGCAGGGGCCTCCATACCCTGCTCCTCCACCACCTGGTTCTGTCCTCAGGCTGGACACAGGCCTGTGTCCCCACATGGATCCCATCTGTTTCTGGCCCCCTCACAGAAATGTGGTGACCAGACATGGGTCACAGTGCTGCTGAGTCTCATGGTATCCCCATAGAAATATCTCTACAATTATGTTCAATATTCTTCAGATAAAAAGGCAGCATGCAGTTTTGTAAAGTTTTCAATGTAATAAATAATTTGTTTCTCATGTAAACCTCATAAAGATGCTATTAATACCATCAACATTTTCAAATTGAGGATGTTGAGGTTCAGAGATCACGCAGCTTGCTCAGAGTTACAGAGGCAAAGAGTAAAAGACCCAGGAATGAGGCCAGGCTGCCAGATACCAGAGCCCAGTCTTGAAAACACTATGCATTTCTACCTTGTATTAGTTTCCTAGGGCTTTTGTAGCAAAATACTACCAAATAAGTGGTTTAAAACAACAGAAAATTATTCTCTTACAATTCTGGAGACCAGATGTCCACAATCAAGGGGTCAGCAAGCCCATGCTCGCTATGCAGGCTGTAGGGAAAAGTCCTTCCTGTCTCTTCTTAGCTCTTGTTGGCCCAAGGAACTCCTATGCAACACGATTCCACTCTCTGCCTCCATCTTCATATGGCTGACATCTCCTCATGGATTCCTGCCTATTCTCTGCTTCTGATAAGAACTACAGAGATCCCAGATTAGGGCCTGTCTTAATTCATTGCAATATTATCTTACCTCACATTCACAGGTACAGGCACTGAGGACTTCAACACATCATCATAGGTGATACAGTTCAACTCATAACTGCATTCAAAAGAAAATGTACATGGGAATGAATTTATCAAGGGAAGTGCAACATTTATACACTGTAGATTTTTTTAATATGCTGAAGAAAATTTGAAAATCCCGTAAAAAGATATTCCAGGATCATGTCTTGGAAGATTTAACATAGTAAAGATGACAATACACTCCAAGTCAATCTACAGAATCAATTCAATCCATTTCACAATCCCAAAGGCAATTTCTGCAGAAATGAAAATGCCACTTCTCTAATTCAAGGTAATTTCAAAAGACTCAGAAGAACCAAAAAATATTGAAAAAAAGAACAAAGGTGGATAACTCACGCTTCCTGATTTCAAGCTTACTATAAAGCCTGAGTAATCACATCAGTGTGGTGCTGGCATGAAGACAGACATATAGCTTCATGAAATAAATTTGAATGATGAGATATGAACCCATACATTTGAGCAGCTGACTATAGATGGAGGTGCCAAGACCACTCAATGGGAAATTAATTGTCTCTTCAACAAATTGTGTGGGGAAAACTGGATATCCACAGGCAAAATAAAAAAGCTGGAGCCCTACACACAAGTATGCAAAAACTATCTTGAAATGGATTAATATAAGAGCTAAAAGTATAAAGCTCTTCAAGAAAAATATGCAATCAATCTTTATAACCTTGGACTTGACAATGGTTTCTTAGATATAACATTTAAGGACAAGCAACAAATAAAAAAATAGATTAATTGAACATCATCAAATTTTAAAATATTTATTAAGTGTAAAACTGATCCTATGAAATTGGAAAAGATATTTACAAATAATATATTTAATAAGGTTCTAGCATCCACAATATATAAAGAATACCTTTAACATAACAAACAAAAAAATGACTCAATTAAAAAACAGTCCCAAGGCTTGAATAGACATTTCTACAAAGATGTACCAAAAAAGTATATGAAACAAGCATATGTTTGTCACAACAAGCACGTGAAAGTTGGTCAACTCATTAGCAATTAGAGAAATGCAAACGAAACCACTGAGTTGCCACTTCACAGCCACTAGATAGAGCATAATTTGAAAAAAATAACAAGTGTTGATCAGGATGTGGAGAAATCTGAGTCCACATACATGGTTGGTGGGATGGTGAAATGGTTTGGCCATTGTGGAAAGCAGTTTGGCAGTTCCTTAAAAAGTTAAACCCAGAATTACCATATGACCTAGAAATTCCCCTTCTAGGTCTAAGTTTTGGTTATGCAAGATTAATAAATTCTAGAGATCTGCCATACAACTGTGTTCCTATAGTTAACAATACCACACTGTGCATGAAAATTTGTAAAGAGGATAGATATTATGTTAAATGCTCTTAACACAATAAAGAAAAGAAAAAAGAATTGCCAACATGTATTTGAGCAAACACTTATGCAAGTGTGTTCATAGAATAACTATTCACAATAGACAAAAAGTGACAAAAGCCCAAATGTCCACCAACTGATGATTGGAAAAACAACAAAAACATACCTGTGAATTCTCTCCAACTAGTGCTTTTGTTCAAAGCATGGAGACAGAATTCTCAGTATCAGGTGAAGAGTTATTGTCCTGGGGACAAGAGGTGGTGAGGGGGCAGAAATGAGTAAGAGGTTTTGGTGGAGAATGATGAAGAGAAGGTGCTGTTGCCGATATAACCAAGGAAGTTAGAGAAAGGAAGTGTTTGTGAGACAAAACGACAGACCCAGGCCAGGAGGGAGGTGTGTTTCCCTCTGCGAGTCAGTTGACAGCATTATAAACATCTCCTTAGGCCTCCTTCTCCTCTTGGGGTCATCCACCCTGTGATGGCCCCATTGGCTCCTCCAGTCAAGCAAGACAGAGAGTGGAAGAGTCCTCCATTCTTCGCTCTCTTCCACCTCACATACAATGAACAAATCCACAGTTCTGCCCCTAAGCCCTTCTTTCCTTGACCCTGGACCATCATCACAGTCAAGTTCAGCTGAAGGCTCAAAACGTCTCATTGTTGCCACCCCATCAGCCTCCACCCTGCCTCTTCCCAGGCCCTCACTCCCTGATAAAATATTTTATTCTCAAGTCCCCAAACTTGTCTTTCACTGACCCTACCCTACACAAATACCTTCCACAGGTTTCCTCCTTCCTTCTAGTAAGGTCCAACTATCTCCACCTGGCACTTAATGAAGTTGATGATCAGGCTGAGGTAAACTCCCCAGCACCAGCAAAATTGGTTCCTCCCTACAAAACAAACTCACTCTGGTTGACCAGCACTCCTCCCCAAACACACATACAAACTGAGAAATTACTATGTGCCCCTTCTCATGGGCAGCTCCTGGAGTCAATTTCAATATAGCAAACTACTCTCCAATCCTCTTAGACTGGGGTAATGACAGAGAACTCCTCCTGCTTCATACCACTCAACTGTGAATGTATTTTTGTTGTAGGATTTCTGTCAGGGTTACATAAGAAATGCTCATAAACCACTTAGATTACTGACCGACTCATCATCTAAGGGTCGGATTAATGATGGAGTTGTATCATTGTGTATATCAATACAGTCTTCCTATAGAACAGTCCCTGCAGAGTGTTGTTCTTCTCAAAATAGCAATCTGTCTACACTTTCCTTTACTGAAAATTTTCCTGTTACTGAAAGATAAAATTCAGAAATACTTCAGGGTGCCCAAGACTCTGTGACCAGGGTGCAGCATTACCAGATGATTCACAGTTCTTGGACTGGTTCACCCTCTTCTTGGTCAAGGATGCCAGCCCCTTGCCACACTTGTGCTAACCTTACCTTGTCTTGGTTTTTCCTTCTCCAGAAGGTCTCCACACTCCCACGTCAATGAAGTTGTGATGTTGAAATCCTGGTATATCCATATTAGAAACCAAAGAAAGGGCAAAATCAACTGGAGGAGTAAAATATTGAGTATTTAGACTGTCAATATTTTTCTGTGAGGAGCGCAAATTGCTGTAATCAGTTTGGGGAGTAGATAACAATTATCATCAGTCAATTTGGGGAGTAGAACATTAGTTAAAAGAAAGAGACACAAAACTGTGTGTCTCTTTCTTTTATCTAATAAATGTATATATATATATATATATGTATATATATATATATATTTACACACCCAGGACTAAAATAGGCACATGTAATCAATAATATATTTATGAACACATTGATATTGACAGGGGTGTCATTCATTTTAGACACAAACCATAGAAATAAATCTCATAAGTAATGAATATTTTGTTATGCATTTGCAATGGAATATTTCTGGCAGTAAAACGCACAAAGTAAAACTACAAGTAGTTAACATAATGTCATATGTCAATTACGCCTTTAAAAAATAATAAAATGTCTGAATGCAGAAAACAACAACAAACAGTAATACAGATCAATTTTCAAACATGATGGTGAGTGAATGAAGGGAATTTTTAAGACACATGAGTGTAGGATTATTCATTTCCATAATACAGTTCTAAAGGAGACAACATTTATTATTTAGAGAACCAAAATTAAGTTTAACTTTATAAATAAAGGAAGAAAAAGAATCCTGTGGGACCCATAATGGTGGTAAACTATAAGGTAATTTGGAGAGTTTTGTTCAAGATGGAAACCACCATCTGGAATAATGACGGTGTTCTTCTTGACTTTTGTTTGTTGACTCATAATTCCACTTGTTATTACTGGTAAATAACACATTTCTGTTCAAAACTTTTGTTTCACTTCTATACAATTTAGCAAGGTGGTATTGAATCAAGATGGAGAAAGCCATAGCATTCACTTGACACTAATATCAACCAAAGTTGCTCTTGATTTCTTACAGCAAATACTTCAAATGTTACCATTGATGTTCCCTCAAAATATAATCACCATCTGCTTGTTCATCCTCATTTGAGCCCAGTCAGACAATGAGCTACTTCCCAGAGGAGATACTGGGTCTCTGAAGAAACAGTTTTCCCAATAACACAGGATATGGAATTAATGCTTTAAAATCATTCATATGAGTTGTAGAATCCATCATGACCCTGAATCTGAATTGGGATAGAGGCCACCAATACAGATGCAGGGGTTATTTCAGAGATGTGGGTCAACCCCATTAGGCACTAGTGTGGAGATCACACAAGGTCTTGGTTCCAGACTGAACCATAATTAGGAGACCTGGTCTCATCTTGGTCCCCAGTGAGGGGGAATTGGAGAAAGTGCACAGGGGAAAAGTGGCTCCTTTTTTCCTGTGGAATTTCTACATCAGAAGTTCTCATAGATGACATTCTGTGAATCTGCTATTTCTGACCTTGTTATCCCCTCATCTTAGTAAGAAAGGAACAAAGAAACTACAGAAGAGTCAGGAAACAGCTAATAAAATGGCAAAAGTAAGTCCTTACGTATCTATAATCACTATCAATATAATTAGATTATCAAAAGACATAGAGTGATTGAATGGCTTCTTCTACAGCATAACCCACCTTCTTGCCTCAAAAATTCAATTTCCTCCTTTAATTTTCAGATATGTAAACACACGCTTAATTTAAAATGAGTCTCATATATGCCTACCATTCTGTTTCCATGGATATGATAATCCCCATTAATGAGTCTGTAGATTGTCTTTGTAGCACTGCCCATCATTATCAGGACTCCTCTTTGCTGCCCACACTTATTGGAAGACTTTCCACTCACCTGATTTTCCATAGAGGTTTTCTCCCAGGCCTGTGCTGGGAGTCAAGCATGTTGAGGGGGATATTTGCAGCTGCTTCTGCCCTGTGGTACCCACTCTCCAAATCTCAGGGTTGTATATGGTAAGGATGATTCCAATGGAAGCCTCACACTCACAGGTGGGGCAGACATCCATGTCTGCCTACACTGCTGTGAATCAGTTCTATGCACACACAGGGGAGCTGGCTCAGCGCAGACCATGGGCTGAGGTCAGTGGGCAGAGATATCCCAGTGTCCATCCAAAAAAACTGGGAAAGGAGCAACACATCCTCCAAATTCACTCCAGAGCCCTGATCCCTTCCCTGCTTGTGAGGATCCTGGGCTTCCAGTCATGTGTCCACACACTGGTGGAAACCCCCTCTACAATGACCCCTTGCTAGTCCTAGACACCAATGGCCACTCAGCTTTGGCATCATTTATCTGTTGTGCTTCCCTCTCAATGTTGGGAACACTCATCTCTCATTTTCTGCATTTGGCTGTGACTATATATTTCAGAAATATTATAAATAGCATTTCTCAGTGTTTAGGAGCTGACTAGGGCTCTTGAGTTGGCATATCAATCATCCACCTTGACTGTGGAGTCTTACATAGTGATCCTGTCACACACCAACTCCCACTGATCTTATTCCAGTCTGGAAATTAATGCAGATTGAGCTCCACCCATGACCCAGGCAACACTGACCCACACGCCCACTCTGACTAGTTGGGTTCATGATAAATTGTTCCAAATGAGGAAACTGAGGCTCAGAGATTGGACTTTACTACCCAAAGTCACACAGGCAGTGGATGATGGGTGAATATTTAAATAAAAGTGTCAGCTTTCACTTCAAATTCAGAGCCCTAACCCAATTCAATGACCCATAACATTGGAAAACAGGACCACAGGATCAGGAGGAGATATCTAGGAAAGGACACAAGAGGCACTGAGGAGACAGAAGTGACTCAGAGTTTTGTTTCCAGGAAGACGGGGTGATGGCGTTGCAAGATTCGAAGAGAAGGCCATGAGAGAGAACGCTTGGTAGAAAGAAAACCCACCATCCAAGATCAAGAGAAGAGTCATGGTTTTCCCCATAATTCTCAGTTTTTCTCCTTGGTGCTCATTGTCACAATGAAGTAGAACTTGACCTGTGCAGTTAGATGTTAAAAGTGTGTCTCCTGATCTGAGTTCTGCAAGCTATGCAACACAGCACATGTGTTACTGCATTTTTCTGCTGGTGGGAGGAGCGGGTTAAGACACAGACGTGTGCAACTTACAGCCAACATTCCTTTTCTTACATATATTTTAGTAAATGATATTTTTTTCAGATAAAATCATTACCGTTTTAACACAAGTTAACATTTTTATTTAGCTCATTATTAATGAAGGAACTATAATGATGCTACAACCAATTTACAGAAGAATGCAAAGAGCAGACACATGTAAAGATAAGGACTATTGAATGGAATTCCAAAATTCAGATCAAAGGTTCCTTCCACATGCTGTTGCCTCCTCCTGGA